AAAATTAAACACATAAACATAAACACACAATAACTGATACAGACATTTAGATATACACCAGTTATCCATCCAACAACTAGGACAACATCCATTTCCCCTCTTCCCCGTCACCGCCTTAAAAACAACAGTCTTCCTGCCTATTCCATAAGTCTAACTGGATGATAATATTGTTGTATAGTGAGTCAACACTTATGTAAATCCTACTGAATCAATGGGTCTACTCCAGTATATCATCAATAGGTTTCATGCCATATCTAACACAATCCTGTCCCTCCTCTTGTGACTTGAACATACTGAACACAACAGGATCTATTTTTGAGCAAACGATTTCTCTGAGTACAGTTGCCCATCTGTTCTTGCAGACTTGAAGTCTGCGGTTTTGCATATTCACAGAGGGGCGACCTCCATTGAAATCAATGGGGCTCCTGCCCATGGGAGCAGCGAGTCTGTTTTTGCGGGGGGGGGGGGGGGGTCCGGAACGGATTCCCCCATAAAAATGCAGGGCCAACTTTAGTTCTAGCACAGTGGAAGTTTGTTGCTAACTGCCCTCGAGTTGGCCCCAAATCATGGTGACCGTGTGGGTGAGACATCTCCAAGACCCACTGCCCTCCTCTACTCTGCTTAGTTCCTGTAAATTCATACCCATGACCTCCTTAATAGAGTCCATCCATCTAGCATGTGGCTTACCTCTCTTTCTACTTTCCTCCACCTTTCGTAGCATTATTGTTTTTTCTAGTGTCTCATGCCTTCTCATGATGTCCCAAAGTACAACAGCCCCAGTTTTGTCACCTTGCCTTCCAGGTAGAGCTCATATTTGGTCTGTTCTAGAACCCATTTGTTTGTCTTTCTGGCTGTTCATGGAATCCTCAATGTTCTTCTCCAGTGCTTCATCTTGAATGAGTTCATTTTCGTCCTGTACCTATTTCAGGAAGTGCTGTTTATGGACAATGAGTTTGTACTTTGATCAGACAAATCTTAAGCCTTCTGATCAATAGCCTCCAGGCACTTGCTATTTATGTTAACTTCATCAGGGTAATGATGAATATGCGTGTGAAGTTATTATGCAGGAATGGCATGGCATTTAAATAATTCATGAACTTAAAATAGCCTTCAGCTTCAAAATGGGGAGAAAGGGGTCTGGAGTTAAGCCAGGTTGACAGCAGGGTGATGCTACAGTATAAAAAGCAGCACGGCAAAAGGTTGGCCACTTGAAGATAGTAACATTTAGAAGGCAAGCGCCAGATTGCCAGTGATATCTGTTGCAAGGAGCTGCTGGATTAACAAAAATGTTTGGTTACAACCAAACAGAGGTCTATCTGGGAAATGCATTGGACAGGGCTGGTGGCAGTACATTGAAACCTCTGGAGCATCTGCTGTGGCTTGGCACCAGAGCAGAGTCCACCAGTGGTGATATGTAGCCCTCCTACCCACCTTGTCCTTGGCTCTAGGTTTGTTTGGTGCCAGTAGCAATGCCTAAGAAGCTGCCCACTATTTTAAATTTCCTACAGTGGCTTCAAGGGGCTACTTGTTGCTTTGGGCACAAACAAAAATAGTGGCTTCCCACATCCAACTACTGCTGACCACATGGACTCCTACATGGTCTAGATATGTTCTGATCACTCAAGAAACAGAGACAAGAACCCACGTGATTTTGGCTTTTTAGATAAATTTGAGTTTTATACTAAAAAATAAAATAATCCCCCCCTTCTTGTTCCATCATAGCAGGAATAGTCCCTGTTTTCTGATACTCTTGCCTGAACAATATTTGCTTTTTTCAATATGCCCAATTGAAATTAAATTCAATATGTCCAATTTAAATGTATGGGTTGCTAGAGCTGTAACTGTCAAGGTTTAGCTCCCTGCAAAATCTCTTCATTTAATTTGAAAGACGAATGGAAGTATCTTTTCTTTCACACTATTGTCATTGTTGTTTTTGTTATTTGCCATCTAGTCAATTTGAATATATGGCGAGCCCATGAATGAAAGACATCCATGAGCCCTGGTTATTCACTGCTCTGCTTAAGTCTTGCAAAATCAGGGCTATGGCTTCCTTGAGTGAGGCAATCTGGCTGTAGTAGTCTCCTTATTTACCAAATAATTATAAAGCATTATTAAATTTTCCAGTGAGTCACATCATCTCATGATATATCCAAAGTGTTACAGATTTGGTTTAGCCATCTTGTGTCTTGTGTGAGTTCTTGCCTGATTTGCTCTAGGCATTTGTGTTTTAGCAGCCTATAGTATTTGCAAAACTCTCCTCCAGCATCACCTTTCTAATGAGTTGATTTTCTTCTTGTCAGTTTTCTTCGCTGCCTGGTTTTCATAACCATACACAGAAATCTAAAATACTGTGGCAGCAATGATTCTGGCTCTGGTATAGTTGAAGATCTTCATGGCTGAGGTTAAGGTTCTTTCATAGCTGCCCATTCACTTATTGCTGTGTAAATTCACACATGGAAACTGAATGGTACAATTCAGCATTTCACAGCTTGCAGTCATATCTGTTGATGCTTCTGAGGTATATTTCAGCTTTCCAACCATTTATTTTAGTACAGTTCATCTTTAAGGGAAAGATCATTTGCCTCTTTGGCTTTTAAACAGTGGAAGACAACGAGATAATTCAGTGGACAACAAATGAAATAAAAAAAGAGATAGGCAAGTTGGCACCATTTAGCTGTTTTGGATGGCATAAGTCATCATCATGAAGTATTACTGAAGCTGTAGTGTGAAACACTTGAAGAGTACCAGTTTTCTGATCCCTTGGGTAGACTTTTCAACAGGTTTAGAAGGGATAGGTCTTGCTAAATGATCCTTGGAACCAGAGCTGGGGTGTTACAAGCATGTCCCTTTTTATATGCACCATCTTCAAGAACATATCATTTTGGGCTCAGTTGAGATACAATTCATTTTGTACTGTAGGATTCTAAATTTATTTTCTAGCTGAAGTATAGAGCCATTTAACATGCATGGGAGCAAAACAAAGGATATATGAAGAGCTATTGATTCACAAAGGGTGCTTCCCCACTTGAAAGGCAGAATAGAATTGCTATGCTTTGTTTACATACATTTTATGGGCCATCCATATGATAACAGCGTCATCAAATGGTTGTGCTTTTACGCATTCTCCATGGTTCTTCCATCTTTTCTCAGATTCTGGGACATCTTTTGTTTTTAAAGGACAGCACAGCACCATAGTCTCTGCAGACAGGGACTTTTCATCTGGGATTTTGCATACCGGTATATTTAAAATTGTTAAAATATTTCAACAGTAACCACTCTAGTTCAAATTTAGCTTTGGTTCCAGGAGCTAATATGCATGTGCCTGTATGTACTGATAAAATAATAATAATAATAATAATAATAATAATAATAATAATAATAATAATAATAATTTATTTATATTCTGCTTCTTGACAGCAATCTAAGCGGCTCACAATAAAATCCATACAGCATATCCTCGGAACAACCCACCCTCCCTTAAAAGTGTTCAGAGCATTTGAAAATGGGCATCATGGTATTATGGATGGAAAAATTATGTCTGTAAGGAATGACACCTGTCAAAGAAAGACATGGTAGATAGAAATGTATACTAAAGGGTGGTTTTGACTATGAGGAGTATAATTTCAGCTATGGAAGACAAAAAGAGACAGTGTATAAGCTGGAACAGAGATTTGTCAGCAAAGAAATAATGAGAACTGTGAAGAATTTCTACAGAAAGTGTTAGATAGCAATCAGATTGTGTGTGTGTGTGTGTGTGTGTGTGTGTGTGAGAGAGAGAGAGAGAGAAGCTTAATTTTGCTTAAGCTATTAATTTGAGTGTAATTCTTCCTCCTTTCTCTACCCAAAGCCATTTACTGAAGAAGAAAAATCTAGCAGTGTTTCAGAAAGAATGCCGCTGATATTTGAGATGAGGTCAAATTAATGTGTTCCATTTTACTGGATGTATTCCTGTATATTAATAGTATGCCAATGTATGTAAATGAGCCTGAAATTCAACAAGATGGAAGTATTTAAATATTCATAATCACCATGCAGCATATGCAAATGAAGTTCTCAGCCGAATTGCAGTATGATGTTTCAAAACCAGCTGCACCAGAGCAGTTTATCATAATGGATTCAGTTGTTAATGAAAATGTTGACAGCGTTAGTCAGGTATATGTTAGCGTGTGGATGTACGTTGTTCATATTTGATTCTTGGAGCCTGATGGAGACAAGGATTCTTCTCCAAGCAGGCATTTAAGCATAGGCTTAGATGGAAGAAAAGCTCTTATTTATATACTTAGAAGATTTACATATCCGGGGGCTATAGGTTCAAATCTCAAGCTGTTTTTTATTTCACCCAGAGGTCTTGTTATCTTCATTAATTTACTGGACAACAGTGTGCGTCCGCTTGTTTTCCAAAAGTGAAGCAAGCTGACTGGATTGGGAAAGTCAGAGGTGACACTGATGGGTACTTTATGACATTCAAAACTGCATGATGATTTGTAGAGAATGATATAGGGAATATATATATATATATATATATAGTGAAACTGCTGTTTAACCAAATTGGCAAGACATGGTCCTCAGTTCAGCTCAGCACACCAACTTAGATCTTAGGCTGCTGCCACACTGCAGCATTAATGCAGTTTGACACAGCTTTAAGTATCATGGCTCCATTTTATGTAAACCCAGGATTTACAGTTTGTTGTGGCACCACAGCTCTCTGACAGGGGATAAATATCTCACAAAACTACAAATCCCAGAATAGCATTGAGCCATGGTAGTTAGAGTGGTGTTAAACTGCATTGATTCTGCAGTGTTGCCTTAGCTGCATCCCCTGGTACGTAGGATTGGGAAAGATTTAACTGGATATTCTGGAAAACAGTTAGCCTAGTCAGTACTGATATTGGTGTAAGGAAATTTCCTAGGCTGTCGACCCTGGCTTTATAAAAATCCCTTATTAATTTAGTTTGTTCTCTGTCCTTTTGGAAATCCTGTGTATATGTAACCCAGTGAGAGCCACTGTGGCACAGTGGTTTGAGTGTTGGACTACAACTCTGGAAGACAGCGTTCAAATCCCAGCTTGGCCATGTAAACTCACGGGGTGACCTTCAGCAAGTTGCACTCTCTCAGCCTCAGAGTATGGCAATGGAAAACCCCTTCTGAAGAAACTTGCCAAGAAAACCCCATGATAGCCTTAGGGTTGCTGTAAGTCGAAAATAACTTTTTAACTGTAAGCCGCCTTGACAGCCTCGGCTAAAGGCGGGGTAATAATAATAATAATATAATATTATTATAACTTGATGGCACAGACTAACAATAAAACTCCTGTGGGTATTGGTTTGGCTCAGTGGCTAGGGAAATCCTAAGGAAAAGGCTGTACTTGGAGAGGGTGAGTTGAGAAGAACTGCAGTTGCCAGGGCTGAGGAGTAGGCCATTCTCACCTTGAATAAGATACGGTAGTTTTATTTTCAGTTGTGGCCTAAATACCCTAAAGGCACCAGATCCTGTCTGAGCATGGAAACTAAGCAGGGTCAACACTGATTAGTGCTTGGATGGGGGACCGCTAATGAATATCCAGTCATGTAGGCTATATTCCAGAGGAAAGAACTCACAAAACTACCTCTGATGATACCTCGCCTATGAAATTGCTAGGAAATTCATGGCATTGATATAAGTAGACTTGAAGGCATACACACACATTTTCAGTTGTGTATTTAAGGGGGAATAAATGGGTAAAATCTTTGCATGGTTTCTATATTCCATTTGCTTCTATTTTGCTTTTTATTTATTTATTTAGGGCTTTAAGATTGCACCAAATACTGCACAGCACAGGCAGAAGAGTCCTGCAACCAAGTCCAGCATTAACAATTCATTGGACACATGGAACTTTTGGGACAGTGCATAAGTCAAATGTAATAAATGATTTGTATGGCTGTTAAATATATATACAGTAGGCCCTCCACATTTGCTGGGGCTGGGGATGCAGGAACCCCATTAAATTGGAAAAACTGCAAATAAATATTATTATTATTATTATTATTATTATTATTATTATTAAACCTGAGAAAAACCTCCAAAACTCTATGGTCAACCTCTACCAGAAGTCAACTTGTTTGAAATGTTGAATCATGCTGGAGGAACTACAAATGCCTAGAGAAGTGTTTTCTCTAGGTCCTCCAGTGTGACTTTATTCTCAGCCTCCAGTCATGAACCCCTGGTCATGCTGGGGGCCCTAGAGATTCCTAGAAAGCACATATTAATCAAATCTTTGAACAATCAAATCCACAAAAGACAAAGCCGTAAATGTGGAGGGTTGACTGTATATATATATATATATATAGAGAGAGAGAGAGAGAGAGAGAGAGAGAGAGAGAGAGAGAGAGATTTAAAGCACAATTGTGTTTTCAATATCCTGTTATAGTTGGCCTTCCTCTTCTCCTACTTCCACTTTATCAAGTATTATAATCTTTTATAATGAGTCATGTTGTCTCATGATGTCCAAAGGATGTGTTTGGTCATGTGGTGTCCTGGAGAGAGTTCAAGCTTGATTTGCTCATTCGGCTTTTTGGCAAACACTCCTCCAGCACCACATTTCAAACAAGTTGATTTCCCTCTTGTAAGCTTTCTTTGCTATCCAACTTTCACAACCATATATACCGTAGATATCATAACTAGTATGGCATGGACAAACCTAACTTTGGTATTCAGTGATAATTCTTTACACTTGAGAAGACCTTATCCAGTTCCTTCATAGCTGATATAGAATCACAGAGTTGGAAGAAACCACAAGGGCCATCCAGTCCAACCCCCTTCTGCCATGCAGGAATACACAATCAAAGCATCCCTGACAGATGGCCACCTAGCCTCTGTTTAAAAACCTCCAAAGGAGACTCCACCACTATGATATATAGACTTCAAAGACATAGCCATGTTAGTCTGTAGAATCAGTATGTAAAGAGATCTTGTAGTGCCTTTGAGACTCACTGAATGAAAGGTTGGCAGCATGAGCTCTCCTGGACTTAAGCCTACTTCCTCTGATGCATTCTTAAATGCATTAAAGCTCTTGCTGTCTACTTCTTTCTTTCAGTGAATCTCAAAGGTGCTACAAGATCTCTGTTATTACTTTTCAATTAAAAAATATTTAATGCTACCCAAAGTATAAAAAATACAATTAAGAATGTCAGTACAAAGTATTATCTAATGCGATCTCTTACATCTCTCTACAGAAGAAGGAGGAGGAAGAAGAAGAAGAGGAGGAAGAAGAGGAGGAGAAGAAGGAAGAAAAAGAAGAAGAGGAGGAAGAGGAGGAGGAGG